TTACAATGAACTGGACTTATTCTTGGGGTTAAGGCAGTGGTGCAAGTTGGCAGATAAGATACTGTAGTAGGAGAGACCTGTGGAGAGAACTGGTGTAGGGTGGGCTCCATGGGATAACTGAGGTACCTTTCCTTGGTGCTTGAAGGTTATAATCAGCCCTGTTTTGAACTCCACCCTCCTGTAAAGGTGTATACACCTTTCAAAAGGCTCCTTGCTCCAGAAAGCAGACCCTGAAGATAGCTTTGCACTTTTATTTCTATTGAAGACACATCAACTTTCTAAGGGTAGAAGGGATGTGTGGATTGGCTGTGTGATTGAAGTGGAAATGTAAGTGGTTTCCATTAAAGTTGTTGAAGGTGCACTGTGCAATTCTGAGAGTGTCCAGAATGGGTCATTGAGTTACTTGCTGGAGAACTGAAGGGCCTTGAAAGACGTGAAAATGATCAGGATTCTCCTTTGCTGATGCTCGTGTTTGCTTTTATCTGTTACCAGACAAGTGGGCATGGAGTCGGCTCAACCCGTCTGGAGTGAAACCCACTCCCAGGTCTGGCTTCTCCGTGGCAATTGGTCCCAATAACCGCTCCCTGCTGTTTGGAGGCGTGCATGATGAAGAGGAGGAAGAGAGCATTGAAGGGGACTTCTTCAACGATATGTATTTCTATGACATCGGGAAAAACCGCTGGTTTCCTGGACAGCTGAAGGTTTTGTTTTAAAAATAACACAAATATATTCAGTTCCTTCTCCTTGTTCATCTGACATGTGTCCTTTGGGCCTTTTTTAGCTTCATATGGCTTTCTCCCAGGGTGCTCCAGAAGCTGAGCCACCAGGTGTGGCTGCTGCTTCGATCTATGACGTACTGATTATGAAGAGAGGGAGAGGCTGTAGAAATGAAGCTGGAGATGTGCAACTCTAGCAGGTTTTTGCTACAGGACTAACTGAATTCTCTACCTTTATGCTGCCCCTCTCCTTCCCTGCCGTGTAGCTCCTTGTACTTTCCATGCCCTGCTTCCACAATGTGATGCTGACTGTCACCCTTCTAGGGAGAGGAGAAGCCTGTGAGCCCTGGTGGTTGGGCACAAAGTCAGAGTGGTTCAGGAGGTAGTCTTCCTCCTCGATGAGGCAAACTGCATGTGCCCCGTTGTTGTGTAATGCAAAATGAAACAAAGCAGCATGAAAACATAGTTACGGTGTTGTACTGGAGGCCAGCTCCAGGTCGGATGTGCAAGTCTGGCATGAGATGCTTTAGTAAAAGCTACTGTGAAAAGATCTTTGATTCCAACGCAACACAAAAACCACTCTCTTTTCACCAGTGTTGATGAGCTATTCGAAGAGATTAAATATTAACCTTGGCTCATAAAAGATACGGCCCTCAGCTCAGATCTTTCATTTTGTTTGAACCACTCTCAAGGGGGAAGTGAGGTGCGAGTGACCTGGTTGAACCTCCTTCTTTCCACCCTCGCTGTTTCTGGCTTTTTCCTCAAAAAGGAGAAGTCAATCACATAATAACAGGCAAACATGCAGTCAGATGTTTGCTTCTGCCTTCCTAGCTGACCGTTTTCCAGCCCTTTCAAGACCTGGAGTGCTTCCTGGTAATGCACTGTAATTTAGCACCCGGCAATTGTTTGGATTTGACAAAACTGTGTTATTTTCTCTTGCTCCTGTCACAGGACAGTGGACTCTGTGTGTTTGTGTGCACCTGAAAGATAGAGAGGAACAAATGCTGTTTTCTGTCTCTTTAGCACATGCTGCCATTAATAGAGGTGGAAACTCCACACCATGGGTTCTCCAGGAGTTTCATTGCTCCTTGTTTTGTGCCTGGCAGAAGTTCGTGCTGGGTGAGAGGTTGCACCTATCACTTGAGACTTACAATTGTAGTGAAAAATAATTGAATTCTCCCCACTCCCTCCCAGCAGCATCCATAGTATTTGTATTAACTGCCGTACGTGCTATTAGGTGCACACTGTTCACACACAGTCTCTTTTTGTCCCTTGTTGCTGTTAATAGGGACCAAAATCAGAGAAGAGGAAGCGAAGACGTGGCAGACAAGCTGAGGCAGAGGGTGCTGGAGATGAGATGGAGAAGCAACCGCTACAAGGCCCGGTGGAGATAGTCAAAGAGGTGGTGGCAGAAGATGGGACTGTCATGACAATCAAGCAGGTGGTCTCTGGACCTGCAGAAGAGAAGGAGAGATCTGAATCAGAGGAGGAGGAGGAAGATGGAGCCTTGGGCCAGCAAGTGGAGCCATGCCCACGTTCAAATGCCATGTTGGCAGTGAAGCATGGGGTTCTCTACGTGTATGGTGGAATGTTTGAGGTGGGCGATCGTCAGTTCACCCTCAGTGACCTTTACAGCATTGACCTACACAAGATGGAAGAATGGAAGGTGCTAGTGGAGATGGATCCAAGTAAGCTTTGATGGTGGAGTCTCTCTTTCTGCCTTTAGTGCAACAACCCCTAGGATATGTTTTCCAGCAGTGCTATATTTTAGGGGATAAAAAACCCAAACAGCTATGAAGCTTCCTCAAGGGGTGGTGATGAGCCTTTTGAATAATGTTTTTTTCCTGGACAGGAAAAAGCCTGGGAGTATGTGATACGCAGTGTCTTATGGTCATTGTCACTGCAGAAACCTGCCTGGTCCATAGCTGTGTGGCCACTGTAGAGAGTGAGCTCTGGTCTGTCTACTTTGAAAACCAAAACATGTGAACAGAGTGTCTTTGCTCACTGGTGGCAAGTTCTGGCCTGGGAAGTCCTGCTGTGCCGTGCTTGTCCACTCAGAAGAGGACAGGCATATGTGCTCTTGCCTGTCCTCACCTCCTCCGGGCACTGAGGGTCTTGCAAAGCACGTGGGCATTAGTGAGGGTCCTCTCTTTATGCCTTAAACGTGTAGTATGTTTGCTCTTGCTCTGAACACTCCGCTGGGCTGTGCCCAAGCTGGGCAGGCTAGCTCCGGGGATGTGGCAAGCATGGAAGTCAGTTCCCTGAATTCCTGGGTTACACGATCATTGTGTGTGCTCGGTGGTGTTGCAGAAAGCGTTACCTGAGAGACCTCAGTGAAGATGAATTTGATGGATTTTCTACCCATTATTGAACGAAATTGTGGGTCTATCTTAGAGCATGATATTTCTTAGGGTAGTGGTTAAGCCATTCAGCCCAGGACACGTGCGAGGCACTACAGAGAGACGTTAAAAGAGGGTGCCCCTGCCCGACAAGCTCACGGTCTGCCTGTGTGTCATGGGTAAAGGGCAGAAAGGAAGGAGTCTCCCTCATGATTGTGGAGCTGTGAAGTGCCAGGGAGGAGAGTCGACAAGAAGCATCAGCTTTTCTTCCACAGCTGTTCTGTGCTGTTCACTTCTTCCCGACTCTATTTCACCTCTTCCCAATGCCCGCTGCTCCCCGTCAGAGCCAGACCCTGTCCAGTGGGTGGATCTGTGAGGGCAATGAATACAGGAGGGCTCTTAAGGAGCACATCTGTCTGACCTTGCCCTGGCATGCTCCCTGACAGTTCTGACTGGAGGAGTGGCAAACAGCTTGTCATTTATTTATTCTATTTTCTTTCTCACCAAAGAAGCACAAGAGTGGCTGGAGGAGTCGGAGTCAGATGAAGAGGACGATGATAGAGAAGGTGCAGAGGGAGGGGAAGAGGAAGAGGAGAGCTCTGAAGAGGAGAGTGAAGATGAGGAAGGTAATGATTAAGATGAACATTGTCTTCATTCTAATATAAAGTGGGTTTTAGTACAACACCTTCTGGTTTCACTGCCTGCCTGGAAGGCCTCACTGGCATCTGGTGAGTTTTCCAGCAAAAGCAGAGTTTTCCTGGTGCTCTGCTCTCGAGGTGCAGGAGAAATGTCATTGGCTACTGGTAGGTTTTTAGGCTATTACACTTAAACACGTTAGCTGAAGAGTATAGTCTTGGCTGGGTTGACCCAGAGGAAGAGCAGATTGCCTTTGTTAGCTGTTTGTGACCTCTCTTTCTGTCTTCCTCCCATGTGTGCTAGGAGAGGAGCAACACCCATCTGTTCAGCCTGAGGAGAAGCATGCAGACTATCTGTCCAGGACGGAGCAGTATTGGATTAAACTAGCCCGCAGCAACATGGGCCCGGATGCCAAGGAGAAGAAGGTGGTAAAAGTGGCACATGCCATGGCAAAGACTTTCTATGAAGATTCAGTCTAGAGGTTGTTGAGCGTGTTCCATGGGTGAAGAAACATACTGGGAGCAGTGGTTAGCTCCGCTGAACTCAGCCTGGCGTGCCAGGCAGTTGGCATGTCCGGAAGGCATCCTGGCACTGCAGTGTTTGCCTGCTCGGAGTGCCTCGGCTGACCAGTCTCAATATGCCTACTCAGTTAATGCTCTGGGTATGCCATTGTTCCCTGGAGGTTGTGGGAGGTTCTTGAGGAACAGGATGGCTGTCCAAGCACTTGTTCTGCTGAGGCTGGTGTATACAATACTGCCATATTTTTGTTCAGAAGTTGCTCTGAGTCTGTCAAGACAAACTGCACATTACAATGGTTCCTTGGTCCCAGATTCCTTTCCCTGACTGATGCCAGAACGTGTCTGCAAGGGTTTCTACAATAAACTTAACTTGGTTACATCATCTTGGTTTTCTCAATTAATCCCATCCTAGCTTTTCTGCTTCTTTTTATAGAATCATAGAACAGTTCGAGTTGGAAGAGGCCTTAAAGATCACCTTGTTCCAACTCCCCTGCTGTGGACAGGGACACCTTCCCCTAGATCAGGTTGCTCAATGCCTCATGCAACCTGGTCTTGAACACTTTCAGAGGTGGGGCATCCACACCTTTCTCTGGGCAACCTTTTTCCCCTGCTGTGGAAGAGGGATCGCTGTTCCCACTGTGAAATATGCAGGTAGTGGTCATAAGATGCACCGGCTGCACTGCCTGGAGAAACCTGGGAATCCTTTCATACCTTGTCTGTATGAGAGCCACTGTAGCCCTCATGGGTTTAACAGTAGAGGTCTCTTCCTTTTTCATGTTAACTGTAGCAGGTTTTGCCTTTACTTGTGGAATCTCCTAGTTCAGTGTCTCACATGCTGGCCAAGAAAGCAGTTGTCCTACAGTTGAACCCTTTGTGACCAGTACAATGTCCTACTTGGAGACCTGATGGCATGTTGAGGACAGGAGGGAGTGGGCAAACACTCTGAAAGGATTTTTTTACCCCTGCTTCCTGACTCAGCCCCTCTCCTCAAGGCATTGCTTCCTTTCCAGCAGAGCAGTGCTGTGGTCCATAGGGACAACAGATGGGATACAAGTGTGTCTGTTACAGCAAACCAGCGATGACTGGAGTTGACACCAGAAGGCACTGGCTGTCCTTGTGCAGAGAAATCCAGGGTGCCGTGAGTATTGTTTTGGCAGGGGCATCACCGGGGAACCAGCTCTCAGGAGAGCAGTGCTAGGTTCTGCAAGGCTAATTAGAATGTAATAAAGATTAAATAGAGCAGGCTGCTAGTGTGATTTAATCGTCAAGACAAAACCACAGTTGATAGGGAGGTGCCTTCCATGCAAAGTAACAGGAGAGGTGAAAAGGAACCATTTATTGATAACCTGGGAAGGAATCCGTAGCGCTCGCTTGGCCAGCAGCATCAGTTGCCCTGTTGTCCCGTCGCTTGGGTTGGTTTGCAATACCTTGAGCTCACTGATGTTTGAGCCTTTGTGTGTGTATGATGTCCACGGCTTTCTGTGCAAAGTTTTGGGGAATCTGCCGCTGAGTTGCCTTTGCAGATGTTGTTTTTATCGTTACTTATTTATTTATCTTTGAAAAATAGTGGATTTAAAATCACAGCCTCTGTGCACAGGACTCCGTTCCAAAGGCCCAACCAGACAGGAGAAAACGTGCTTTTTGCCAGATGTACTTTATCATTTTTTGTTTTTTTCAAATACAGATATACACCCTGAAAGAATTTTTTCCCTGAGCTGAAGCCGAGCTGCAGCAGTGCCAAGGATGAAGCACAGTTTTGTACGGTGCTGCTGCAGCCGCCAGAAAATATTCTCCCTCCCCCTTCTCCGGTAGAGAGACCGTTGGATGAGGGAACTAGATGCATCAGATGAGCTGGAGTGTGTGCAACAATAACCTGAGGTTTTTCCTTTCATCTTTTCCTCAAGGGCTCTGGAACGTAGTCCTAGTTGTGCTCTGTGCCAAGCCAAGTATGACTGGAGAAGGCATAGACTGGAAGAGATAGCTTCCAAGGAACCTGTGAGTCAGGATGGGCCAAGTGTCCCGTTCCAGCATCTTCGTGCGGCCTCCCGTGGGGAGCACACCAGCTGCCTCGCAGAGGTGTGGGAGAGGAGGCTTCAGGGGGTGGGTTGCAGGGGAGATGTTGGCTTCCCCGGGCTGTCGTTGCTCTGCTGTGAGGTTGGGCTGACCTGGGTGTGCAGCTTGGTTCAGTTCTTCCGAGAGCTGGGGTTCTGGATGAGCCAGCATAGGCTGTGGCTGGTCACAGGGCTTGGCTCAGGAGGCTCTGGTGGCCATCCTTAGGTTGTATGATGGGAGGATGCTGCCATGGCAAACTGGCCTGGCCTGAAAATTGAGGCTTAGTTGTCAGCTCTGACAAAATGAAGCTGTAGCACTGTAGTTGGAACAGCCTGCGTGAGGACTGAAACCCACACGGCATCCGTTCTCACTGGAGCCGTTGAACTTGAGACAGAAATCAATTCTGGTGCATCTGCACCCACTGCTTAGCAGAATGCACAAGACAAATGCAGCACTCCCTTCAGCCCTGCAGCCAGCGACAGCCAGAACGTCTGTCTGGACACCCTGGCCCATCTCGTGCAGGTGGAACTGTGGAAGCCTTGGAAGCTGGCACGTGTTGGTTGAGCAAATGAAACCTCTCAGAAAAGGTAAAACTGCTCACCTAGGTGACTGGTTATTGCTACTACATTAAGTGCCTGCCAAGCAGAGCTCAGAATGTGGTGGGCTCTGCCCTGGTCTTCAGAAATACAAACTATGATACCTTGATATCAAACTATAATGGTACCTTGTTCCTCTGAGCATTGGCTGAAAGTCCACTGAAGCCTGTTCAGGGTCGCTGGATCAGGTATCTGGTTGTTTTTCTTGTAGTGAGTCCATAAGTACCTTAAAGAGGAAGGTGTTTTGGAGGCAGACACACGTCGGTGAAGTGGCTTGCCTAAAGTGATACCCAAGAGAAGGGCCAGAGCTAGAACTTGATGGGAAACCAGGAACTGAGAAACTCCAGCAGTGTCTGTAGAGTAGTTATTCTTGTCTGACATGTACAAAGAACAGCTTGTACTTTTTTTAGTGTATAAATGCTGAGATAAAATTCAATTATTCCTTTGGCATCCATCAGACCATTGCTTTTGCCCATCTCGTCTTAAAGGGATGGACGTGTAAACATTTACATAGGAGAAAGAGACCTCAGTTTATTATTATAGCTGGAAACAATCAAGCTGTTGGGTTTTTTTTTTCAGCTAAAAGACAAGGCTGAAAGTAACTTTTTGTTTTTCTCCTCACTCCTGGAGGAAAATGTATTCAGTAATCCCTTTTTCTTTGGGCCACACACACTGTAATTGCACTGTAAGTAACACAGAGAAATTGGATTTTTCTATTATGTTTCCACGCACAGCTAGGAAGGGAAAAAGAGAATAAAGGACAGTGCCAGCTGAAATGCATTTTACTTTAGGGGTTGCACAAAAAAGGCCACAGTAGAAGGTTAGTGGTTTCGCATCCAACTCAAGCTTAACTTGTAACGCATGGGCTTGTTTCTCGCCCACGTTAGTGTGCGTGTTGTGGTGTGATGGTTGTGGAAGCAAAGGAACCTTGCTGTGAGGTTTATCAGAGAGCAATCAGGGTCATTGGGCTGACCCAGAGATAAGCAGATGGAAAGACCATTTCTGAGCATCTCCATGGTTGGAGATGCATTTCCATGAGCATCTCTGCTCATGGGATTTTGCTAATAGCAGAGACTTAGTTGCATCACGCTGAGTTGCTGGTCTCCTCGCAGTGCTGCCTACCTGCTGTGGTGGCTTATGGAGACAAACCAGTCCCAAACCCTTCTGCTGGCAAATTGCTTGTTTGTCAGGCTCGTTGTGCTCTGCGCACGCCGGGCTGATCTCATCCTTCCTCATTCGTCTTGGAGAGAATCTGGGTTCATTCACCGGCTGTTTTGTATCGGCAAAACTTCTGCTTTCTTGCTCCAGCAATACCATGGGTGGGTCCAACCAGTGCTAAACAGCCCTGAGCACGTTGTGCCTGTCAGCAAGACAGAAAGGCTAAAGACACAGCCGTTCTTACAAAAGCAGGTCTCCGAGGGATGGAGG